TTAAAAAATAACTAAATCGAGAATTATAATATTTAAATGTACACAAAAATATATTACCAGTTTGAGAAAAACCATGTAACCAGTTTCGAGTAGCAACAAGTGTTTGGATATTTTCATGGTGGATGCAACTTCTATACTTAGTGATTTCCTAAAAAATAGATTTTGAGTTTGGATCTCTTTAATTTTAAATTTTAATATTATATTATATTTTTTAATTAATTTTTATTGGCCCACGGGCTGGCCCTACCTATATTTCTCAAGCCCCACAAATCAGCAGACTTATTCAGGCTAGGATAAAAAACCCTTTTCTTAAATGGGTTCCAAAAAATTTAGCACAACCCTATTAAATCCCGGGTTAGGCCAGGCCGGCCCAACAGGCCTAGCCCATATTGACGGCCCTAGTTTGGACAGTTAGTTTCAGAAATAATAATTATATCATCAAAGTGAATGATTCTTTCCCTTCGATCTAATTAAGTTTGTTTAGATTAAGTGTATATGATAAACATTTTGTTTCAAAATAAGTGTCGTTTTTATCTTTCTAAGAGGTAATTTGATCAATCTTTACCGCTAACTGAATTAGATTGATTCAATATATCAAAATTTAAATATTCAAAAATTATACAATAAGTATTTACTAAATGCAATTTTCTCATATCGATACATTTTAAATATCGATTAAAATTCATATACTTTAAATGTTGAAAAACTAAAACCTACGTTTATAGTAACGAAATCGGAAATTTCTGTGTTCAAAATTTAATATAATTGTATGAAAAAATAATTTTTAACCTATATATTCTATATACATAGTATAATTTTTTTACGAAAGACATTTGACTGACCACCTGAGCTCTATATAGCTACGCCATTACCTACGTATAATTTGATTTGGGACGGGTGAGTATATAACTTAAACACAATATTAATTAATCTTCTTTACTTAATGGAATCAATCAACTTTATGTGACTAGTTTTTTTAAGTGGGCACGTAAGTTTGAAATTTACTCCAAAATGATTAAATGTTTGGCATTAAAAAAAGCAATAACTTTGCATTTACATGGTACTAAATTTGTCTTAAATCAATTTAATTTTTATGAAACAAGTGGTTGATAGTGATTCTTATCTGGGCTTTGGGACCATATAAATGAAAAATTAAATCATATTAATTTAATGGTACTTTTTATCACCTTAAATAAAGTAAATGACTTTTTATTTTATTTTATCTCTTTGTGACTAAATATTCTTTTGGTACATGTTTTAAAATTATTCAAGAAAACCATTTAGTATATCAAAATTATTTTTGTTTTGTTTCATTGAATTGTCGAGTTATTATTAGGGATGGGATATTTTATTATATTATTATAGATTGAACATATATATATATATGGCCCATTATAAATTATTAGCTTTTATGATATTAATTATATCCTAGCTGTCAGACTAGTACTCATCAATTTCTTTGTCATATATGATGCCATTTCTTTTTATTTTTAAAATGTCAAATATTATTAGCAAATAAAGTGTAAAAGCATACGTATCGATTAGTTGACATATTAGACTGATACTCTAAATGAGTCATAATTAATAAAAAGAAGGTATCAAAAAACATACGAAAATAAAAGTTAACAAGATATCCGGTCTAGTCTTGAACCTATAATTCTATGACTTCGTTTCTCAGAAAATTTGTACAACAAAAGTAACAATTGAACTCTCGCAATATGTGGATAAAGTGAGCTACGATGAATACTGTGAAATTAATTCTTATTCTGCACTTTCTTTTTATTAGCTTACAATTCGAATGAAAGGAGAGAACGGAATAAAAAAGAAATTTCATTCTCACATTATGTAAATGATTGAAATAATAAAACTCTGACGAATAACTAATTTAATTGAGTGTACCTACTACCAAGTCAATGACTTTGAATAGGTAATCACGAGTGTATAATTTAATTTCACAATTTTAATAAAGAGTAAAAAGGAAAATACTGGTTGTATAACGTGTTTAGGTGAATCATTTGAATAAATCACAATCATTACTGACCAACATTTAAACTTTGTTCGGAGGGTTATTACATATTATTTCTTAATGTATGGTATCTTATTGTATTGTGATATATTATATTGTACTGTCTTGTTTTAATGAATATAGTGATGGGATAGATTGTATCGTTTTTCGTCGTTGTATAATGTCACACGACCATAATTTTAATGATAAACCTACTAGGAAAGACGGGGCAGAGATACTATGAAAAAGTAGGTTAAAGATGAAATATAGTTATTAAATAATAAATAAAGATAAAATGAAAAGAAAGTATTAAGGTAATGACGTGATCACACCAAATCGGTTGATACAAGAAATGTATCTTTTCGTTGTTACCTAACAATGAATTAAAGCGATACGATACAATAGAACTTAAGTAACAATCAAAACAAACATTGTATTTACACTAACAATACAATACAATACAATACAACAAATTAAATCATCCAAACAAGGTGTAAAGGGTTTGTGGGGGTGGGGGGTGAAGGGTAATTTTACTCAAAGCCAATAATAATATTTATATTAAATTAAGAAATATAAATTTTGTGTTTATTTATCAAATAAATAAATTAAATCATTTAACAAAATTAAATAACGTATATTTTTCTTTAGTTCGTAACTTCTAAGTTCTAACATTTAAATTTTTGGTCAAGAAAGAAAACGTCCATTAAGAATTAAATATCTATGACTATTTTAAATTACAACTTATTTATCTTTTATCTAGTTTAACTGCATCGTCTGATTAGATTAAATAAGACAGAATAAGACATTTTATAAAGGATAAAAGAAGTAAAATTTAATAATTAGAATTTCCCATTTTAGAGCCATTATTATTTTAAGATAATAAATAATGCCAATTTTCTACCGTATAGTTCCGTTGGTTTTGTTCTTCATTTTTAATAGTGAATTCAAGATTTTAAAGTCACCAATACTATACACATACTCATTTAATGTTATTTGCTAAAATTTTTTTGAGGTAATTGTTGAACTATATCACACAGTTTCGATAATAACAAAACCGCCAAAAAAAAAAGACAATAATTAAACTGCTGAAAAAACCATTAGTTTTGTTTTCCATTTTATTGGTTTGCCCATTTAATTTAATTTAATTTTCAAAAAAATAATCAGGGTAATTATTAAACCATACCACACAATTCTAGCAACAACAAAAGCTGAATTGTTTTATTTACCATTTTCAAAAAGTTTTATTTTATGTATAACTAAATACAGAATAAAGACAAATAAACTCCACGTTGAGTGTAAAGTCTAGCTAGATAATAATAACAAATCCACATGGTGTATTTCTTGTTCATATCAATAAATACAGATGATATTTCTCCCTTTATTTTTTCCATTTTAAAAATAAAATAGAAATAAAAACAAATTCATCAATCCCAAAGTTATGTCAGTCATACAAAGTGTCAAACATGTTTATTAATTATTCCAACTTATTCCTGACTAAACTTCATTAGTACTAATCTAAAAGTTATTTTAAAAAAAAATAATAAATAAAATATTACCTGTTTAGAATATTTGTTTTCCTCCTATAACTTTTTTATACTTGTTATTATTATCTATGGCTTCTTTTGCTTCAAAGATACCATGTTATTTTCTATTTTTTCCCTTCTTGTTTGTTAGGTTTTACTTGATTCAATCGAGAGTTTATTATAAACAATTTCTCTATTCAAGGTAGAAATAAAGTTGCGTAAAATACCATCTTTTCTAAATTTCATGTTGTAAAATTTAACTGGGTATATTTTTTTTTTATTATTTAAATACATAATTAATAATTTTGCAAAAATAATAACTTGTTTATTTACGAATTATTATTTTTTTAAAAAGAGACCAAAATATTAAATTTATGAATTCTGAACATTAAAAAAAATGAATCATTAAATTCTGAATATGTAAATTATATACATAGAGAGAGTTATATTTATTAATAACAAACTTAAGTAAATGTTTCAACCCAAAAAAAAAAAGACTTTGACTAAATTTACTGAAATTTGTCAAATCTGTAATAACTAATAAGTACTTTATATTAAATATAAAAAATTTATACATGTATTGTCACTACATATAACTTATATTAAATAAATAAAATAAAAAAGGAACTTCACAAACTTCCTTCCTTCTAACAAAAGCAATTAACCAATTACCACATCTTTCTCCACTTCCCACAAATTAAAATTATAGAGGCGAATCTAAATAAATTTTGTTAATTTAATCAAATATATATATTTATTTATAACTTATGAATTTTAGCACTGAATTCACCTCTATAAAAACTCGATAATCAAAAGAAAATAAGGCAAAAGATGAGAATTTCTTAAAAACGATACAACAACAGTAATCTCACAAAATGAAGTGTGAACACAAAATATAATATACAAAAAAATTGTTTTTAATAAACCCTCGACTAAAAAAGAAACCAGTTCAAAAGAGTACAAAAAAGGAAAAAGAAAGGAAAGTGAAAACAACCTTCTCAAAACAGGAGGTTGGCTAGTACAGATAATAAATATATAACGAACTCAAACAAAAAAAAATTGTATCATCATTAACTCATTAAAAATAAAAATGGTAGAACAGATAATCAAAATATAAAATTACCAAAAAAATTAACAAATTTAAATAAAAACTGGATGCTTCATTGATTTATACCCATAATTCAAATCCATTCATATCTAAAATTACAACTAAAACAAGAAAAAGAAAGGTGCAATAGATACTATTACATAATACTTAAAACTATTTTTTTTCTTTGTTACTACTAGCTAGCTAGCTAATAACTTACCTAACGCTACGATCGACACGACACGATAAATAAATGAAACTTGACCTTACTACTAATTCTAAAAACTACTACTAGAGTTAGACTCTTTGCAACAACTTTTATCAATCAGTCAATTATGAGTTTCAGATATCAAATGAATATTTTTGAATAACATTTTTTATGAGTTTACATGCTACGTCTTCTTTTCATGATCTTGTTACAACCATTGTTAGCATCTTCAGCATTCCTGAAAAATGAATCGATTTCTTCCTCAGCAACCATGACGACAATCTCAAATCGCAATCTTCTCTTGCACAATGACCGATTTGCCCTTTTCGGTTTCTTAGGAGCACCAGGACAGTTAACAGCTTTGGGAATCCTACATGAAGGAGATTTTGGGGTTTTGCATTCATTTGGAAGAGGAGAATTGATGTTTGGTGATTGGTTTTCTTGGAAATCTTTTGGAGTTTGGAGGTCTTTAGCCATGGTGAAACTATCTTTAGCCATGGTGAAACTAAGAGAGAGAAAGAAGAGAGCGAAAGTGATAGTTTGAAGAAAAGAAATGTATTTTTTATTTTTTGTTTTCATTTAGAGGTCTTAATTTATACTAGTGAAAAAATAGTAGGGATGGTTAGAATGCTTACATTTGGAGGAATATTGTGATGGTTAGGAATAAGACAAAAAAGATACATGTCAAGTATCACGATGGTCTGTGAGATTTCTATCTGTACTATCATGTGAACCTCTTTTATCTAGCTGTATTTATCTTATGTGTTCACACTATTTAAAAAACATTAATGATGTTTTTTTTTTCAATTTTACCCTTATTTAAATTAATTAATGGAGTTTTACATGATTAAGAACCTACAAAAGAGTTAGAGTTGCTTCAAAGTATTTATAAAAGGGTAAGTTAGTAAAGATATATTTTATTCTCATAATTAACCTACTAAGGAGTTACGAGTATCACGCTAGTCTGTGAGTTTTCCTACTTGAACTATCACCAATTGTTTACCAAAATACACCTCAAAATTAATGAGTAAGTTGTTCTGCAGACAAAAATTTATGAGCAAATTAAATTGTCACGTGTGTGTTGATGATTGTATTCAAACACTTGATCTAGTCTATTTCGAGGTGTGTTTTGATAATTGATGATGGTTCACGTAGAAAACACAAACACCCGATAATTCAGATATTAAACTCGCAAAAACATGATACGACAAATATGTTTTGACCATTAACTCTTATTATTATTCGGGATCTCAACAATTTTATTTAGTGGGTTAAAACTTTTTTGGCCTAGTCGAAATATCAAATAATGTGTATTCTTCGGTATATTCAGTGTACAACAAAACTATAACAAGTGTATAATTAGTGTTTATACAATATACTAGCAAACAAGGAATGAAGATAAGGGTTCATTATTGTTTTATTATCATGAATTTTAATATTGGGTTATCAATAGTGTTGACATTTATTTTTCAATCAAGATACGGGTTCATTATTGTTTTATTATCATGAATTTTAATATTGGGTTATCAATAGTGTTTGACATTTATTTTTCAATCATATGATATTAGTAATTTACCGATTCATATACTTTAAATTCACATTATGTAAGTATATTAGAAGGGAAGACGTTTCTACAAGAAATTTCTCCATTTTTAAAGTTGGATTTGAACACGTTATATCTAAAATTCTAAATAAAGATAAATGAATCACATGAGTCCTGCCTTATAGTTCTTGGTGGTTTAAACCAAGTTATTATTCTACTTCCAATATATTAACATATCAAACTTTATTATAAAGAAAATTGTTATCATAGGATTAACTTAACTTGATGGTACAATAAAAGAATTATACGTTGTCAATACACAAAACATAGATTCTATTTGAAAGAAAATAAACTTATGGCATGTCATTTAGTTAGTATAGATATGTACAATAAAACAACTGTAGCTACTTAGACGGATACTCCATCCATCTCAATTTATCTATCTTGATTTTACAAATAAATATCTTAAATTATTTTTTATTTTTAAAAATTCAATACAAAATGATTTTCTTTCCATTTTACCTTTACTAGTAATGATACACTAGATGACTAGGTACGTTGTACAAACATCTTCATTATAAAAAGATGACAAATAGATAAAATAAATATTTCAAACAATAGAGACAATATTTATTAATGAGATAATATGTTACAACGTAAAAACAAATAAGATAATTGGAAGAAAAACTATCTAATAAATATTTTATCTCACAGTGTTGAGAGCTCATTACATTTTGTTCCTATTATTTCCCAAATTACAAAAAATCACTTAAATTTATAGGATCTCGAGTACATCAGAAAATCTGTGGTTACATAGCTCACGGATCGCGAATGATACATTACATAATTGGAGGGTGTATCCTAGAGGGAATAAGGATGTATCCGAGAGAAGATAAGGCTAGAAGGGATTTTTGTAGGAATTTTAGAGATGATAGTAATATAAGATGTATGTTTATATAATTATTCCAATATTTTTTATGTAGCATATAAAATACGTTACATATATTTATTAGTTAGGACTTAGAAGTACAATTATTATATGTGTCTCTCTCATATTTGAAGGCATTAATTATTTGCTTATATTATGATGAAATATATATGATAATTTCTAACTCTACTAATTTCTTGTTTTGTGCTTGAATGATCTATAATTTAACACATCAACTAACTATCTAAGTACTTATATTTTTCTTAATTTAGTGCCTTGCATTAATACAACCTAGCTGTGAAGATCATAGATAAAAGATGAAGTATAAAGTACAGAAATCCTATATTTGGGGACTGAGTTTATCATATTCCAGAAGTTTCTCTAATTACAAAATTTTGCATTTTTCATTGTTCTGATATACATTTTTTGACTGTTCGATACATTGCTAATGATACATTACTTAATGGGAGGAATGTAATCGAGAGGAAATATGGATATAACTGAGAGGGAATTTTCGTAATTATTTTTAAATAATAAAAAGTTTAAGATTATGATATCTTAAAGTTATATATTTATGAAATTTTTCCAGATATCAATTATCAACATTGTGGTCAACCATAATTCAGATCCATCATACTTAAAAACTTGCAACCATACTTGACATATTAAAACAAGAAAAAGAGAGGTGCAATAGATACTACTACATAATACTTAAATCTATTTTTTTCGTTTTTACTAGTAGCTAGCTAGCTAACTTAGGTTACGATACGATACGACACGACATGACATGACATATGACAGTGATACAATAATTAAAATAAACGAAACTTCACCTTACAACTAATTCAAACAACTTCTACTAGAGACTCTTGCAACAACTGTTATTAATCGGTCACTTATGAGTTTCAGATATCAAATGATACTGAAAAACATTTTTATGAGTTTACATAGTACGTCTTCTTTTCATGATCTTGTTACAACCATTGTTAGCATTTTCAACACTTCTGAAAAATGAATCAATTTCTTCCCCAGAAACCATGACGACGATCTCAAATCGCAATCTTCTCTTGTACAATGACCGATTTGCCCTTTTCAGTTTCTTAGGTGCACCTGGACAGTTAACAACTTTGGGAATCCTACATGAAGGAGATTTTGGGGTTTTGCATCCATTTGGAAGAGAAGAGTTGTTTGGTAATTGGTTTTCTTGGGCCATGGTGAAATTAAGAGAGAGAAAGAAGAGAGAGAAAGTGAGTTTATATTATTTTTTCATTTTGAGGTCTTAATTTATACTAGTGAAAAAGAGGAGGCATGGAGGAATATTGTTATGGTTAGGAATAAGGACAAAAAATACACGCGAAGTATCACGTTGGTCTGTGAGATTGCTATATGTACTATCATGTGAACCTCTTTTATCTAGCTATATGTATTCACACTATTAGAAAAATGTTTGTGATGTTTTCTTTTTCAATTTTACCCTTATTTAGATTAATAAAATTTTACATGATTAAGAACCTACTAAAGAGTTACAGACTTACAGTTGTTTCAAAGTATTTATAAAAGGACAAGTTAGTAAAATTACATTTTATCCTCATAATTAACCTACTAAAGAGTTATAAGTATCACATTGGTCTGTGAGATTTCTACCAGTGTGAACCTCTTTTATCTAGCGATATCAGTTATGTGTTCACACTATTAAAAAAACTTTAGTGGTGATTTTTTTTCAATTTAATCCTTATTTAAATTAATGAAATTTTACATGATTAAGAACATACTAAAGAGTTACAACTATTTCAAAGTATTCATAAAAGGACAAGTTAGTAAAAATACATTTTATTCTCATAATTAACCTACTAAAGAGTTATATGTATCACATTGATCTGTGAGATTCTTACATGTATTATCATGTGAATCTCTTTTATCTAGCTGTGTTTATCCTATGTATTCACACTCTTAAAAAGATGTTAGTGATGTTTTCTCAATTTTGCGTTATTTAAATTAACTAATAAAATTTTACATGATTAAGAACCTACTAAAGAGTTATAAGTATTTCAAAGTATTTATAAAAGGGTAAATTAGTAAAAATATATTTTACATACTAGGAATTATGAGTAGTTAATGGGAATAGATGTTAGTAAGTCTTGTCACATATGTAATATCCCAGAAATCATCCAACATATCTTTTCATTGAATGTACAAATGCCAGGAAGTTGTGGTCTGAGCTAGGACTTATAAAAAGCATCAACATATTCACATCCAACCAGGACATGAACTGGCTAGATTTCCTTAGGAACATTAGCATAGTGATAAAAAACCGCAACTGGAAAGAACTTTATCCATTCTACTTGTGGAGTATTTGGCTTAACAGAATGAACATTACCACAATAATAAAAAAGGAAAAATAAACGCTAATATTCCATACATGCATGCCATCGAATTTTTCTCACTCACAAACCAAAGGACCAATATAAAAAAACCTATAGTAGGGTATGTAAAATGGAAACCTCCAAACATTGGATTTAAGCTTAACACTGATGATTCTACCTCAACTAAATTTGGCACTAGTGGAATAGGAGGAGTAATAAGAGACAAATATGGTAATTGGGTGGTAGGATTCATGGGAAACATATATGAAGCAACAAATATTGTTTCTCGTTGCAAAAAGGTTTAACTATTGCACTAACCTACAACTTAACGCCACTTGAAATTAATGTAGACTGTCAAGATATCCTCCACTGTCTAGCAAATGATCATCCATCCTACTCTAATAGTTTGGCTGATTGCAGGGAACTTCTACTTAAACTTGGAAACCCTCTGGTGCAGCATAAATATAGGGAAGAAAATCAAGTGGCAGATACCTTGGCTAAGGAGGGGTCTAGACTGAAGGAAGCTAACTCCCTCATACTTTGGACAACTCCTCCGTTGATTGTTTCCAGTAGAATAGAAGCAGATAAAGTAGGAACTCTTTTTGTTAGGCTAAAAAAATCGTCTTCTACTATAGAAGGTATTAATG